TGTTCTCCAGCCAGTGTCCAAAGAAATCCAGCAAGGAGGTGGCTTACACATTTGTTACTCAGAGCTCCTATTGTCTACCCTCTGCCGATATTAACTCTTCGCTACCTCTTTTCTCAGGAAGTCCCATGTAACAAGTTCCCTTATTTAGAGCTTTCATCAACTCACTCCAAAGCTTATTTCAACTCTGTAGATTTGGAGAACGATTTGAAACTAAGCTGTCAGTATATTCGCTGCTTATTATATTGTCTGTGGAAAAAAAAAAAGAAAAACCAAAAAGCACACCACACTTTACTATTAGTTCACCATCAGTTTGCCATCTCACTCATACGAAATTTCTAAAGTTTTAAGGTTTGTTTAGTTTTGAAATCCCATTTAATTATGGGCCAAGAAAAAAAAGAGGTAAAATATCTCTCAAACATATATTAACGATTGCTGGCTTCAAACCTGAAGGCAGTGTGAGAGGACAAGCCTCCTGGTGGCCACCCATCAGGCAGCCTCGACCAAACGCCAGCAATCTCTTTCTTGTACAGCACAATTAACAAAAAGAAGGAGCTGATGAGGAAAGGGGGTGACTGGAAGACTAAGTAAGAGAAATTATGAATGGAATTTCATGTTGGGTTTAAACAAGTTATTTCTGGGAAAGCAAGAGGGGAAAAAAAAAGAGGAAGAAAAAAGTCAAGGTTTTCGTTATTGTGTGACTCTACCACTTCCATTTTTATGATAACTGCTTTATAAAAACCTGCTTGCGGTCTGCTTTGACTTCTTTTTTTCTTGTACCAAGTACCCTCAAAAATCTTTTGATTAAACAAGCCAGCAGCCAGCGAATCCTCTTCAAGCAGAAACTATCAGATACTAGCTGTTCGCTTAATCATGGGAGAGATCCATTTTTAATTTGGCCACCTTCTTTTACACCGCTAATTAAGTTCCATTTGTGCTTATTAGTCGAACCTAATCATTCCATTTGAATTAAGTCACAGTGTCGTGTCAGAACACAGTGCTGGGTTCTCCCAGTAAGCGTGCCTGGGTGTGGTAGCGCACTTTGTTCTGCTTCTGCAAAGAGAAACCCCACATGAAGCTGTGGAAAAGCAATCCAGCTCAAGGCACCGGACCTCTGAGAGCCTCGTTTAACATGTGCCCAACTGTCACTATCGCAAAAGTTCATCAGTTTAACTCCTTGCAGACACGAAGCCGCCTCTCCGAGCAGGAAGTCGCTCGGTGGAACTCCTGACGCAACGCAAACCGAAGCAGTTGCAGCTTAGTTTAATACAAACCCTCTTGAGTCCACGTTGACAAATTCTTTAACAAGCCCTGTGGTTACAGGGAAGCTGGTTTCAGTCTGAGTCACTCCTGTTCAAACAGTTTACTGGAAATGGAGGGGAGGGGGAATTTTCAGAGAAGTCATGTGATGGCCAGACAAACCACAACCAGTAAAGGTTCAGTGGAGTCAAAAACAGGTCCCAGCAACAACTGACATTCAGTGTGCAGATGGCACTCCATCATTTACAAAGATCATTTACAAACGAGTCCTGCTGCATCTCAGCATTTCTATGGATTTAACCCTTTCGCAAGTTTGCATCCTTTCAGAGGGAGGACACAGCTTGGAAAGCAAACAAACAGCAGTGGCTGATAGTAACATAGGCAACTAGAAAATATTTGGACATGGAAAATGTGGCTGCAGCAACGCTGCACAGAAGCAAAGCCCGGTGTGTAAATCATTAGTTCTCAAAAATATGCCACTTAATGAATCCAAACACTCACAGTCATCAAGGATTAGATATACAGCAAAGATATCGGTACTTTCTTCTCTTAGCAAGGAACACCACGATACAGCAAGGGCCCACGCACTACACGTTATCACTAAGTACCTTGAGGGAAGTTGGCATTAACAGCTTCATTTTCACCAGAAACCTCTGTCAGCTTTAAGCGTTTCAGCGTGACAGGGAAAAGATGAGAGTACCTAACAATCAGCGGCTATTAAACTGGCAAAAGAGAGTCCCTGCACACGAAACCGTACAGAAGCACGCTCGCACTGTGTTATTACCAGCGAGCTGCCCCAGCACTAAGTGGTAGATTCAGTTCCCCTAATTGAGAGGTTGGTTTGAACGGCTGCACTGGAGATACTCCCCGTGGCTAAAAGGGGAGCTCCGATAATAAACTCCTTTGCTCCGGAATTCGACTGGAAGAGAGTTAACAGCAACTGAGATACCATTTCAAGCATTCCTCATTTTTAAATACTGCCTCGAGTAACAAACAGGAGTGAGCTGCTTTGTTCCTATAGCACGCTGGGCTCCACATTGTGTGGAGCTCTGAGAAAAAAAGAGCCCTGCTTGTAAACCACACTCCTTCTCCCGGGCAAACTCACTCGATTTGAACAAGAGCAGCCACGAGGCAAGCGAAGCTCTGACGTGCCCTTTATGTAACCGGGACTAACTCACTGGCGCGCACGCAGGGACGTGCAGAAAGCAGAAGTGAGTGCTCCTTTAAAACGAGGGGCTTTTTCTGAAGCATGCCAATGGGAAGTACAAGGCAAACTTACACACGGTCTGCAGGCTACTCAGTTTTCTCAAAACCTAGCTCAAGGAGTCAGGTTGCTCAGATCTGAGATTTATGACAGAGAATCCATCACTAGACTCTTTAAAGTAAGTAATATTTTACTCGGTGTAACTTCGGGGCACTAAACCTTTAAGGTTGATTAATCCCTTTAGGTTCCTCTTTGTTTTTTAAAGTGCCAAGCTAGCAAGCACATTCCCCCTCACAGATCCTTTAGGCTGGATGTTACATTAACGGTCTATTCTCAACAAATTCTATTCTCAAAATTACCATTGTTTTTGAGAAACAGCGGTGACAAGCTTTCTCAGCAAAACACACGCAGGCAAAAACGTCAAGCCGTTTGGCTCTGCCTTGTAGGCATACAGCAGCTCAGCAGAAGTAGAGGGGGAACATATTCTTCAAAATGTAACACATCCATTTTCACATCTTTCAGAAAGGCAGGATGAAGCCAGACCTTTATACGGAAGGAAGGCTCCTGTCAGTTGACGTCAAACATTTGTAGTATCATCCACGGCATGAGACAGTTGTCACATCCCCCGTGTTTCCTTAAGCATAAGGCTTCAACTTGGGAGAGTGGGAGAAGCTGAGGTGGGTAATAAAAATTGTTATTGAGTAATTTAAAAATAGACATCGTAACTGCTCGCGAGCAGCAATTACAGAGCAAACAGTGATAAGCTATGCCGAAGATGGGGATTCACTCAAGGTCATAGGAAAGGCAGGCCTGTCTCCCAGAGACATCTAGAAAAAACACGACTGAAGCCAAAAGCAAAAGGAAGTCATATTAGCAAATGGAAAAAACTGAACTGTCAGTTTTATGAGCGCAATACAATTTAATTGGATTGTCAAAGCGTCATGTTAAAAGAGTTTTATAGAAACCAAACCAGAAGTGGAGTTTAAAAAGATTTTTTTTTTTTTTCCTGGCCATCCATCCACAAAACAACATGCTTCAGTCCAAATTCAATTGCCAAGAAAATAATATCAAAAGTACTGGTAAATAACACCATCATTTTTTTCTTAATCAATTACACAAGGCCACTTGTTTACTGAGGACCGTCAATAGAGCTAGCTATATTTTGGCCTGTCCTGACAAAACGCTCTCTAGCAAAAATTTTCTTCCCAAGAATCTTAGTGTGCGTTCTGGAAACCAACTCTGGCTGCTCCCACAACTGTACACGCATATAATTTGCTGGGAGAGTTTCAGTAAACACAGATAGCATTTCAGCTCTCCAGTCGTGTATTCGACTGCTTTCATTTGGTTTTTTGGGTCTTTTTTTGTTTTACCACAACTTGGTTTTTTTATACAGTTAGGGATTACTTTGCAAAGGAAAGACTGATGATAGAGGAAAGAACAAAGCAGGTATTTCCCCCACACACACACTGCATCTTCAAAGAAATACAAGAACTTACTATTTACAATAGCAGAAAAAACCTTTGGAACTTTCTAGTAGGGGGAGGCTCTCAGGAAACACAGGCTTTACTGTTAGAATTACTAGATTGCACTCATGATTTCCAGACAAACCCCCTTCTTTCAGGGAAAAGCTTTCTCCATTTTTTTAAGAGAACTAAAAAAAAAAAGTTTATATTTATATCAAGAAAATACCCTGGCAGAACAGTTAAAGACAGCAGTGCACAGTAAATAGTGTCTTCTGGTTTTTTAATAGGAGTCTCACAACCTGTTTCATCTTAGTGGCAGACAAAACAGGGTAAGAAGGAAAAACACAGTAGAGAAATTCATTGGCTAGTAGTTTTGAGGAAAAAAATGTTTCATTTCTTCTAAAACACTATCAATAACTTGTGAATAGGATGCAAACTCCTGGCCTGAATGAAAAATAACCTACAGTCATACCTGACTGATGTACACCATCAGTTGCAAACTGTGCTGTAACACAAACAGTATTTAATCCACCAAGACACTAAATGACAAGAGCAACAAAAGGGGATTCAGAGCAGTCTGGTTGCATTTTCCCATCAGGAAAAATATGTTTCCTCAGGCTGATGAATGGGTCATGCACTGGCCCCTGAGGGTGTCGGTAGCAAGGCAGGCAAATATCATCTGAAGGGGACGAGCTTACTGAAAATCATCTCCTGGCCCAGGGAGGCTTTAAATGCAGCTGTGACAACCATGACATGGAACAGCATCTCCCTGTCACCGGTCTGTTAGCCCATTTTCTCCCTACCTTTATTGTGCTGTTCTTGGAAGCCTAAATAAACATGGTATTTGTAATAAACGCTCCGGCTGCAGCATCGTATATGCTTCAACGAGCTGCATTCTTGTCCTCCCATGACCAGAGGCATCTCTACCCAGTGGAAGATCTTTTTCCATCCCTGGGAAGTCCCCTGTGAACTCACACCAACTGATTTTTGGCCCATTCCCATTTCATGGGAATGATTATTTACTCGATCTAGTTCTCCTGCATTTTATTAATTCTGTTGCTTTGCACTGTTCTTACTTGTGCAGTCTCTGCATGTTCCAGCATCTCCTCAAATTCCTGGTACTCTTCATCATCAGGTTCAGCACCAGAGAGTCGGGCCGCCCTCGCCATAAAGTATGGAGGCAGCTCTCCAATGGCTGTGCCAGCACCCTGGGAAAAGAATAATTCTGATTTATTTTTGTGTTTATTCTTAAATAGGTAACATGTGATACGCACAGTCCCACAGACATTTCAAACGATTAGAACCGATGAGAGCAGCTGCTTTGAGAAGCTTGCTGTTATCCAACCAGGTCGAATTTCTCCCGACCCCGAACATAACTCTGTTCCTTTGCAGCCCCTCATTTAGCAAAATTCAGTTTCCCTCAGCACAGACTACGGCGCTGTAAAGTCAGTGGCTCCCAAGCTCTGGTCTGCAAAGTCAAAACGTGCGTCCCCGGGGCCCGGCTCTGGCTGAGCTCCGCGGCGGGGATCCAGCTGCCGCTGGAGAGCCGGGGGGGCCGGGGGCCCCGCTCTCGGCTGCGACGATCCCTGACTCAGCAGGGCCCTGCCACCGCGTGATGCCAGACACATCTGCCAGCATGTGACAGCCCTCGCTCCTGAGCGGCCTTTCAAAAATAATCCGGGAGCTCCTCCCCGGTGCCGTCATGTAGTTTACTTGTTCAGTCATGAGACTTTGTGCAAGTGTTTATCAGAAAATGGGCTCGAGTTTTACTACAGCTACGAGCGAGGAAAATAAGGTTAAGGAAAGCTTGATCTCGAGATTTTCTCTCTCCTGTAGAAGGAATAAAGAGAGTCAAGAGAATCCGAGATGAAAGCACGGCTGCTTTCTCACCACAGGAAAATTATATTTGTTTTCTCAGGACTTCAAATGACTCATTTCAATCTTGTGGGTAAATGCAACTTTAGCTTAACCAAGGGAGAAAAGAAAAAGACAGCGAAGATTGAACATATGGATAAACAGAGGCTAATGAAGCAGGAACTTGGACTAAACACAGAATGGTTTAAATACAGGACAGGTAATGGCACAATAGTTGGGTACCCCCCGGAAAAGTGTTAAAACTTAGCTACGTGCAGACGGCTTTTCTCTCGCAGGGTCAGCAGTGAGTAACAAATGTTTTTCTACAAAGCATTTGCTTCCCTTTGAAGCAACGAAAGCTTTTCAATTTCCTTTGTTCTTGCTCTATATGCAGCTGCAAGCAAGGGAGAATTCCAGCTGCCGTGCATATTCCAAACCAACAGGTTGTGGTTTTAAATACCGTCGCTTTCCGGAGTTACCCAAACTGTTAAGTTCTCGGTTTAAATATATAAATTGCACAGCTTCACATGTTTATGCCTTTTGTTTTCCACAGAAGAGAAATTTAAACGAGTGCAACAAGCTGAACTTCATTAATCTGCCTATTTCTGGCACATGGGAAGATAAGCCTGAAAACAGTAGCGACAACGGTTCAGAAAAATTAACTTGAGGTTATGTTCTCAGGGTGATGCAAGAACAGAAAGTCACATTGCTTGTCCAGGCTCTGCCAATTTGCTTTGGCTTCAATCTGTTAACTGAGGAAGAGGTTTGCATGTGTGTACTGGACATGAACTTTCTTTAAATTGGATAAGTCACATGCTCATTATTACAAAACATTTCAGAAGTGCAACACAAATCATATGATTTCATGTCGGCTGGAGATAGGTTCCCTAAGTGCATAAAAAAACTCAACAAACCAATTAAGGGATCCAAACCAGTAACTATTTAACTGCTTTTTGTAACATTAGCTGTCCACTTTCACCATTTAACTTTGAATGCCAGTTTTACATGGAGATTCCTCAGACTAACAACAAATTAGAAAGGCAAATGCTAATCAAAATTCTTTTACACTAATACATTCATAAAAGGAAACTGGGAAATTACTCCACTAGAAAGAGTCTTTTAAACAGATTTTATCCTGGTCAGGACACAGGCTGCCTGTTCTGCTAATCCTGAGCAATTAAACATTTTTATTCTTTGCCCTTATTTCTTGTAAAAAAGACCAAAAAAAAGCTGCAACACATAAAAAACGTAGGGCACTATTGAATTCCCTGTCCCTGTGGGATGGAAGGCTGTGAAAACTGGCCTACACCTAGCAGACTGCTTTTGAGAGTCCTTCTGCAGGCCAGGACTGGCGGAGCCAACTTTTAGAGTGACTGGGAAAAAAAAAGAAGTATCTTTTTCATTTCACCTAATAATTCCTTAGATACAACGATATTTAATCCTCGTAACGCTCATTATCAGCAAAAATGGCTATCACTGACATGCAGGGGACTAGTAACGATTTTAATCTCGGGGAAAAAACTGTACCTGGTTTAAGTCGGCTGAAACAGCTGCTGATGTTGTTGTGATCCGAATCAAATCCCTCGTGCAGATAAACCCCCCCACTCAGGATACTCAGTCTGGAGAGCTTTATAGTCAGAGGTTTGCAAAGTCCCCACTGGGACCAACCTGCTTTCAACATTTCACATGAAAACTTATACTGCTACCACCCTCCTGTCTCCCTCCAAATAATCAAGAAGATTGGCCAGATTGCACTTTGGAGCCTTTCAGTATAACTTCACTTTATAAGTCTAAAGGAAAGAGCTGTTCGTGGTGTTATACCTATTCCTCCATGTGCTGCATTAAGAGCATATCTGTGTACATCCAATAATTGCTTTTCTTTTGGCATTTACCCCGTATTTATCAGATTTTAGGTCTAATTAGAAGTAGACAGATCCACTAAAAAAAAAAAAATATATATACTTTCTGTGAGTTCATTCAATCATATGAAGATTAAGAATTATACTTAATATTCCTGATTTCAGTTTAAAAGTAGAAAATAATTGATTTTTTTTTTTAAACAGAGGTTTTGATTTGCAAAAATTAGCCTTTTCATTTTCTGGAAGTCACCGTTACTTTCCTGTTGTGCGGACGTTTGGTTTAAAGCGTGACAGAATCCAAAATCAGTTTCTTCAACAGCTCCCATAAAAAGTGAACTGGAATTTGGACAAAAGAAACACACTGGAAGAAGCAGCAGCAATTGCCAACTTGATTTGGCTTACAGGAAATTAGCAAGCAATGTTTATGTACTCATGAAACATTCCAAGAAAGCATAACATTACACTAGACACCACCGGTAGACAGAGGATGCTCCCGAGGGAAGAATCCAGCAGAGCCAGAGTTCAGCGCAAAGGTAGCTGCCGGAGAATGTGAAGGCGAGAAGAAAGAAAAGGGGGGGAAAGGGTGGGAGAGAAATGGTTCAGCTCCGTCCGGTTCCCTTGTCCTTTCCCTGCCCCAAAACTGAGCAGCAGCTCAAACAAGAGCCCGAAGGTACCGCTTGTTCTCCTCACGGCTGCTCCGAAGGACACCAGCTTTCGATGCTTGCAACTCCTATTAACTCACTTCCAAACTACTTAATGCTCATCACAGCTCGGTTATTTTACACGCTGAAGATTAGGCAATGGATGTTTACCCCGAGCTGCATTTCTATTTTGCAACCCTAGAAACGTAATTGTAAATGCCATTTTTATGACTCCGGTCTCCATTAAACAAACTTAAGCAGAGGGAGACGAGGAAGAAAATAAAGAGAAATCTTGTATTTATGGTCTTATAAGTACTTGCATGTTTAGCTACTTATGAAGCATTCAGGCATTTCTGTCCCTCATCAGAAAGAGTGAAATTTAAGATGTACTTTGCTTCTTGAGAGGGCTGCAAGGCCATTTTCTCTGTTACTTTTCTGACCTTGGTACTGCTATGCATTACTTTCATCTGTAACGCTTACAAGAATTCCAGTTTGGCTGTACGCAACAGAGCTGCTGATAATTTTAAAAGTTACCAAAGTTGCTTTAATATATCTTCTCCTATCATTCGAATGAATAAAAGGACAAACATCAGATATCACACATTTTCAGAATTTGGCTGTCTACATTTGAACTGGACACCCAAGAATTTAATAATTAAATCATCAGCCAGAACAGGAAGTCAGTAGTAAAATAAATTAATTTGGCATGCAGTTCACAGGAGATGCATCTGGGTAATAATCTACATTTAATGAAAAATCATTTTAGCTGACCAAAATCCTCCAAAAATCAAAGTTCTATAAAAAGCTGCACAAGAGGGAAGGAAGGAAAACAGAAAGGAAGTTCCAATGACAGCGTTTCCTAAGACCCCAATTCACTTAAAAGCTAAGCTGCTTTTCCTGTTTTAAGTGAAAAGTTTGCCATGATGGAAACAGGCAGAGAAATAAAAATAAAATACATACAAATGCGCAGCATAACGCTCCCCTATTTAATCCAGTTTATTGATGTAACCCAGAAAAACATTTCAGCGATGATATTGGGGCCTGAGTCCTTCAGATGAGTAACTGCAACTTCACTCAAGTTACAGACTCAATTTTTGCAATTATTTATTGCTTAACTGCACGCAGGGTGAGACCCGACAGCTGCAAGACCATTTGGGATGCAGGTACCCTTTGTGAAACTTACCTTCCACATCAACAACCTTGAAGCACGTGAGCATTTTCTGCTAGCCTTTAGAAAAGTAGCCCACACCGATAAAAACCCAGCAATAATCCTATTACTTCTCTTTAAAGGACATAAAAATTATCCAGGGCTACAAGGTTGATCAGGATCTCTTCACATCGCAAATACGTTTGTTACTGTTGGAGGTTTATTCTTGGACACAGAAATCAGTGGGATTTTAAAAAACTGTTATAAACCAAACCTTACCCACATGCAGGCCTCCAGCCTGACTTTTGAGATGATAGCCCACAAAGAGATGGATCCTTCGGTCGTCTCCTCGTCAGGGCAGATAATTTGATCTGGGTAAGGAGGCTCCGGAAAATTAACTGAGTTACATTCATACGCAGCAAGAGTAACCGACGCTATGTGTGGACCCTGAAAAAACACAGGTAATTTCAAATGCATTTTACATCAGTGAAAACTGCAATTAAAGACACATTCGTCCCTGACGCAAGGAGTCTAAGCTAAAACTTAACATTTCTTACCTTGGCCAGTAATAATGTTTTAGATGTAAAATCCACACAAGAAAGTGATCTTACTGCTGTTTGCTAAAAATGGTTTGAAACGTAATCCAAAACTTAAGCATTATTTAAGTGCCACATAATTGAATTACATCTAGTCTCCATCTTACAATAAAATATTTTTTTGGACAGCTCTCCAAATAAAACTAGCATAAAAATCTATTCAAGACTTAAACTGCTACACACCTAAAAAAGCTGAAAGAATTGCCATTATTTTAACACAAAAGAAGGGAGAAGCAATTCAAATAGCCTACGGCCTGAACACTGGATGTTGTAGCTAAGAAAGAAATCACTTAGCAAAAGGTCAGGGAAATATTGGGGAAGGAAAAAAAAAAAGTACAGAGTTAAATTAAGGTCTTTTCATAAAGTCACAGATTTAAATAAATGCCAAAGATCATTTTCTGTGTGCAGAATAAATTACACAAACCTGTATTTGATGAGTTTTGATGTCATGTTGAGAAACATATCATCAACAATTTCCTTCTATGTTTTTCCTTTAAATGAGCCATGCTTTATTAGACTCGCCCAAATCAAAGGTAAATTTATTACAGAATATAGAGGGAAAGCGTGATGGACCTCAGCACTGCTACGGCCCTGCGCAGGGCTTGCAAAGCTCACTTTGAAATGCAGGAGCCAGAGGACCCTGCAGGCTTCATTTGCACAGTAAAAGGTGAAATTCCACAGCAGGTCTCCCACAAAAAGTGAAGCTCCACTGTCTCCTCTAGACTTGCTGGGAAGATGATTTTAGATGGGTTCACTCAATTTCAGGTCTCCCTGAAGAGACCAGAGCGCTGGGCTTATGCAATGACATTAACAGTGCAATTTTTCAGTGGCATTGACATAAAAATGTCAGGGGAAAAAAAAGCAGTTATTTTTCTCTATGACAGCTGCGATCACTGTTGTCACATGTAAGGAATTCAAGACAAAACCATTCTTCTGCTACGCAACTGGAAAAAGACAAGCTTCTCTCATACCAAGTGAATTCTTTTATTTATTTCTTTTTACTTTACAGGAGGCTAATTCAAAGTGCTTTGGCATACTTTGCATTATATGAACACACAGATGCAGCCAGCCCGCCGAGATGATAAATGAGGCACAGTCTCTCTTGCAAAAAAAAGAAAAAAAAAGAAAAAAAAAAAAGAAAAAAGGTTCATTGAAGTAGAACTGAAAAAGAGGGATGCAGAAATTGATACACAGGAGTGATTTTGATATGGAAGGGAGAACAAAGAATGGATGAATGAGCCCGTGACTAGTGCTGTGTATTACTGACACTGCTATCGGCCCCCCAACGGCAAAGAACTCCTTTCTGGTTCTTGTAGCAAGCTCATCTCTCTCCCCAGCAGCTTCACATCTACACAAATAACATATCTCTATTTTACTTACTGAGGACAGAGTGGAAACTTTTGTAAAATTGTAAAGTACATTAAGAGCAAGCCTAGGAACCTCTTTCTCCACCATACTCTGAAACTTAGGGCATTTAATCCCGTCCCTTGCTTGCCCCAGCCCAGTCTGACAGCAACCTCGGGACAAAAAAAAGGTCTCAAAACCATCCTCCTTAAATGAACAGTTTTCACCTGCAGAAATGTGCAATAAAATTCTCCTGAACAGTAAATTTGCGTGGAGGAAATCCCCACGTACTTGAGCTGTAAATGACCATTTCCTATGTTCCCTTGACAGTAAGGGTAAGGTTGTCGCCAAGGCAGTGAGATGCGGTGTGTGAATCAAGAAGTATGGCTTTTCGGTTCCACAAAATTTGGAAGACACACCACACTACAGCGTAACTACAGCCATCCGCGATGGCAGACTGTTACTTTCAGTTTTATAATAGTAAGAGACAAATTTAATCACTACCATAGCGAGGCCCCCAGCTCCTCGCAGGGTTTCGCTTTCGGCGACAATGGTATTACCAACATTTCTTCTCAAACTGCACACAGGGTGTGTAAAGAAGAGCGTACAATCTCAGGAGAGCGAGCAACGACAAAACTCCTGACTGGAGGCTGCTGCGTGAGCCTCTCACCACAAGCAGCTTCTCTCAACCGAGTTGCCATCCTTGAAATGGCTTGACGGTCTTAAAACATCGCCTCCTGTTAAGAGAGCGCTCCCAGTCTCCACAAGTGTCTACGAAGGGAAAAAAATTATACAAGTAGCAGCCAATGGAAAAAAAAGCATTTCACAGAACAGCTGTAAACAGCCAACCAGCCACCTGAAGACTACATCAGTTGAACATAATTCTTCCACCGCAACATAAACAAGTTTATAATGGAAAAAAGTTGGAGCTCTGGAACCCACAGAAGCTGCATTTGAACTGGAATAAGAAATAAAGCGTAAACGGTTCATTTGGAGTGATGAAGTGTGGAGCGCTGGAACTTGGAGCGAGCCAAAGGAAAGTAGAACAATCCCGTGTCCTCCCCTGGCAGCGGAGGCCAGCTGTCCCGCGAGTCAAAACGGACAACGTCTCTCAGCTTGGCAGGCTGCACGCAACAGCTCTGACATCTGCTTTTGTTCTAGCTGGGCTCTGAAAGCTCACATCGAGCATTATACTTTCACAAAGCCGTGGTTACCAAGCACCTCAAAACAATGGTTGGCTAAACAGGACCATGGTGGCAATAGGGGGGGAGAGGAAGAGTGGGAGGGTCGCTGGGTGTTTCCCAAGAGAGGTGCCATTTTGCTTCGTATTTAAAAATAGCAATGGTTTAACTCTGAATGGAACAGAGAAACAACTTCAAATGGCCTTTGGGTGCCCACCTTTAGTAAATCCCAGCCAACATACACTCAGACGTTTTCTCTGTACTCCTCCCTGTGACAGAAGGATTAATCCTCATTCAGATTTTTTAATCCTCTTCACAAATAATACCTCCTCCACCCTCTCCTCCTCCTTCCCTGTGTGGGGCCACAGTAGATAGAGTGTTTTGCCTCTCTGCAATAGCTCAGTTTATTTCAACACTTCAGGAAACCCTTTAAGATCTCCTGCCTTTGACTCCAGCCGCAGCTCTACCTTGAAAAGGGCATTTGCAGAACTACCCCAAACCCTGTCACACCAGACAACAAAATCTGGGCGATTTAGTAGACGTGCTGCTTGCCAAATCAGGACGAGTCGCTGAAATTCAAGGCATGTAAGATCCTGAACACCAACTGTCTTTCCCTCACCCTCTTCCAATGACTTGTTGGGTTTTTTTTTTGCAGGAGGCACTGACAAGGGCTAACAGAGAAGAAATTGAGAAACATTCTGCTGACTCCGGTGAGAAACATTTGCTCGCCACTACTGACGACCAGAAGGAGCCTGTGGTTAGGGGGGAATGCGGTTTGTTAGAAATATCTGTACAATTTACAGATCAAACAAGACAAGATCTGGTCATCAAGATCAACTCAACATAAATCTATCTTTTAGCAACAGTAATTTTGGGGAGTTTGGAAATCCCTATCTATACAACCCTGATGTCTCACAGAAGAGAACCTCGAACTCTTGAACTCACAGGCCTTCACCAAAGTTTCAGTTTGGTGATTGAAGTCACCCAAGTTAGAATAGACACTGCTAATCCTTAGAAATAAATTGCTTTAAATGCTGTATTGTGAAATTTGTACAAAGTATACTTGCATAATTTATAGATAAATAGATTAGAGAGAGCCTTCACCAAAGTTTCAGTTTGGTGATTGAAGTCACCCAAGTTAGAATAGACACTGCTAATCCTTAGAAATAAATTGCTTTAAATGCTGTATTGTGAAATTTGTACAAAGTATAATATATTTATCTATAAATTATGCAAGTAGAGAGAGAGAGCAGGCAAATGTAAAAAAGATCAAGAAGTTTAAATCCTCAAAACCACACCTATATATGTACTATATGATATGTATAATTCTTAGAAAGAACACTCTTTACCATAAGGAAAAATGACTGAATAGCCAATTATAAGTGAACCATATTTTCACATTATTAATCGTTCTGTGCACCTAGCCTGTGAACACAATTAAAGCTACAAACAAGCTCCACGTCAAGTGTTGGTTTATCACATGCTCCTTCACAGAACAGGCATCCTGCTGATGTGGTACGAGCACGAGAACAACCACATCTAATTTTAACCTTTCGTTTTTGGGGAAGACATAATTTTAGACCAGCTTTAATTTAGAAACATTTCACAGAGAAAAGTGATATGTCTTGCCAGCAAGAAAAATATTACACTGAACTCACTGTTGAACTTAATGCACTAAAAATCTGTTTTCCTCCATGGATACGCTGCTTTTCATACTGGGTTCAAGACTCAGCCCTTCCACAGGGGGGAAACATGTCATGCTCTATTTGATTAAGATAAATTGGAAAAACAAAAGCTTGCTTCTCATGGGAAACATCCTGCAAGCATTGCCCCAGGCCACGACTCATCCCATACTTATCTATGAAGTCATTACACCTCTCAAGAAAGTAACACCACGTTACAGCATCTCTTTTATCTTCAAGAGCAGTGGACGACTACCCACAAAGAAAAATGCTCTATGATTAAGAGGGAAAAGCTCGATCTAGAGGTGGCTAGTAAATACGTCAATCTGTCTGTCTGCGTTTTAAGATTAAAACGTCTCGTGATTTTGTATAACGTCTGGTATGCGGTGCTGGCTGTAAACCGGGGCCCAGAATGAAGAAGGGTCCCATACCTAGAACTTCCTCAAGTGACACAAACATCCATCAAGTGGTCAGGGCTAGTTTTAGCAGACCGTCACGGCATTTCAGGCAACGTATTAATGTCACAATCATGTGGCTGTTAGCAAGTTTCTATTCCCACTTCAGTCGAGCCTTGCCCCGCAGCACAGAGCTGATGGAAATTCCAAACGGTGAGCCACAAGCTCTGAATATGACTGAACGAGAAG